TTATTGACCGACTTGGATTTGAATTTCACTTCATTTGAAGATTATTCACGGTTTATGTATGAAAATTTAACAGACAGGAAACTGCTTCCAGACGGCACTTCTTCAAACACACCCAGCAAGTCCTCTTCTACCTTATTGTTTCCCTATTTTTCCATAAGTAAATCTTATTTTTTAAAATAACGTCAAATAAAAGAATACGCTTGGCTGGAGAAATGCTAGTTCAGTAAAACAGTGATATGCAGAGTATGATGTACATTGCGTTTGTATGTCTTACCGTTAACTGTATTGTTAGTCAACTGTAAGAGGTCACACATACGGACGGTTTGTTTTCCGAAAACTCATGGTTGAGGGTGTTTATAAATCTGATGCTGACATTCTAAGAAATCGCAACATTCTGGATCTTCATCGATACAGTATGTCGTTCTCATCGCATAATACTAGAGCGTGTCTTATTAAAGATTTTAGTTTTATCCCTTCCCTTCCATATTCGATTATACTAACGTTGTATTCTTTGATACCTAATTTGGACGCCATTTCGAATAAAAGTCCAATGGTTCCAACATCGCTTTTATAACTTTCCGCTGGTTCCCACTTTTGGGACAGCTAATTATAATATTTGGGTTATCCAAACTGGTGAATCGTCATGAGGAGGACTGAAGCATAAATCAAAAATAGATCCGTCTTTTGATTGCATTGCATTTTTTACTCGTACGTGCTCTTCAGTCTCTTCAATAAACTTGTGATTCTTTATTTGCAATATTGTTTTATTATGTAGGGTGGATAAAGCCTTTTACGAGCGAGTTCCGTAAATACTGCAACTTTGGCTATATTTTGAAATCGAAAGCTAAAAGATGAAATATGTAAAGACTTTTTTTCGAATTACTATCATAAGCAATGAATAAAGTAATCTTATCCCAGTTTAGGTTTATCTCTAAGTAAACTTCCTTAAAAGCTCGAATAATACTTCCTCACGCGTGAGATACAGTATGTTTCCTATTTCTTGTGGTAAATCAAAATCGATGAAAAGGCGAAATGTATCATTTCCGTCAATGAATTTGTGTACTGACGTTCTGCGAATATATAGAGTCTATTTCATCCTCAGAATCTGTGCCAAGGAATTGCCTGGGGTTTACGATATTATCACGAATTTTATACCAATATTCGGCTACACTACGCCCGCGGTGGTAGAAGACGCAATTATTGCCGAGCTCAGAAGCAACAATGTTTTGCGTTTCAGTAGTATTTCGGGTGTCCGTTTGTAAAAAAGTATTTGGAACTTTTATTATATACCATAAAAAAAAATGTTCAACTTAAAAATTATTTATTCGTCATTATTACCAGTCGGCATTTTGAATTCGATACGCACTTTGTGATGCAATTGAATTTATCTTTGCTAGTAGACAAGAAGATTTGCAATAAGTCTTGTCGGCAAGAAGGTTGTGCTATCCATAGGAAAAGACGCTAGCATGATCCTTGTGACCAATGCGCTGCATTGTTATCGAAAAAAAGAAATAGCAAAAATCACCCAGAACATATCTGAGAGTAACATCACAGCAAAAGAATAAGTAATTATATTTTGAACACTTACTGTGAAATAGCTTACAATGCGGACAAAAGTCCGTCTTAGTACTAGAGAAAATATTGCCGTTCGAGGATTCTTTTTCTTCTAGGGCGACCGAAAGATAATAGACAAGTTCTAGACCACCTGTCCTAATGTCCTAGGTCGGTCTAGAAAATTTCGAATTCTTACTCTTTTTTTTTTTTTTTATAAATTCTATCTGTCGAAGAGAGCACCGGAGCTACTTATGAGAATAAAATTTAGTTTTCTAGGATATTTAAGACGGGGTTATAGAAAATTATGAAAACAAAGCTTTCTCCTATAGTAAATCCGTCCTAAGTAACATTTTTTCTAAGACGCGTCCCAATATATTTAGGACGGATTTATTTTGATATTGAATGTACAGTATAAATCAATAACCAATATTTTTTTATAAACCGATATGACAAATAGCAAAGCTTTGTCAGCGACACGAGATCTGATATCAATTAATTAAAGAACCATATCAACACACTTTTTGTATGATGTTATAAATCGCAAACGCAAGAGAGAACATATACTCAGTCAAAGCCTGAGTATTGTGTACGCCAATGTTTCCACAGATCGCAACAATCTTTATGGATAAAAAGACATTTTTATGACGTCTATCTACCGTAATTGATTATGCAGCCCCCCCATCGGGTAACTTTTTGTTATTACGTAATGAGATTTTCACGAAAAAAAATTTTGGTAAATATATATATTTTTATACAGTGTACACGGAATTCATAAACTCTGCACACCATGACAGATCCCTTCTTTACCCGAAAACGAAAATCAACAGGAACAACACCTTCCACCTCTTCAAAGAAACGAAAAGGAAAACCCACGCCAACCATATCGAATGCGAACGACGAAGAAATTTTGTCTGACGACGAGACTGGACCCGGATCTGTTGAATCGAATGGATCAATAACCGAAAGTGAAAGTGATAGAGAGACACCGGCGGAAAAAAGGCGAAGACTGGCTAAGCAGTATATCGAGTCTGTGAAAAAGAAAATTGGTATTGGAATGTTTTTGTTCTTGTCATGTCAAAAGCTGGTAGAATTGATTTACCGCCCCGTGAGGACAGTTGAATTCCAATTATCGTACATTTATAATAGGCGAAGGTGAATTTGATGCCGCTGAAATTGATAGAGATCTGATTGCAGAGCGTTTAAAGACAGATGCTGTGAGTGACTAGTTGATTTTGAAAATCAGTAAAATAAAGTGTGCTTCTGTTGTTGATAATGCAGTCTTTTCTTTTTCTTTTTGTGTAGCTCGAAAAAACTGGCCGAGCCTTTAAAGAAATTGCTGATACGGTACGCTCTCTTTTTCTTTTATATATTTGTTTGTTACTCTTGAAAAAAATACTGAATTAAAAAAAAATCAATTCAAGTTTAAATTTCCGATTGACTCTGCGAGCTTAAAATCTGGACGTCATGATCTGGCCGTGACCTGTATTGCAGTAGCCGATGGCTTCAAGTACTTTTATACGGCTTCCAAGGACTGCTCGATAAGAAAATGTGAGCGGGAGCATTCCATGTTCCGTGTTGGTGTTTTCTTTTTCAATGATTTCTTCCAGTTGACTAATTTCGTTGAAAAAAGGGGACATAGAAACTGGCCGGAAGCTGCATGAATTCCCCGGTGGACGAAGAGGGGTAAAGCAGTTTGATGGACATACGGATCACATTCTTGCCTTGGCTTTGAGTTCGGATGGAAAATACCTGGTGCGTTTTGTACTAGGTTTAATAAGGGCTTGACGATTTTTGCATATTTTGAAAAAGTACAGAGATCTTATGAACTTGTTTGAAGTCTGCAGGCCAGTGGTGGAGCAGATAAGAAGATTAATATCTGGAATGTTGATGATAACAAACTTTTAAAGTGTTTTAGGCAGCATAAAGACGCAGTGACGGTACGTACTCTACTGAATGTTTTGCGCGGAATGCAATTCACGCTAAACTCCCATCATTCACAAACTAGGCTCTCGTATTTCGAAAAGGCGCTAATCAACTATACTCAGCGTCAAAGGATCGCACGGTTAAAGTCTGGAACATTGATGAATTGTCTTATATTGAGACACTGTAGGTGTAGATATGTAGATATGCCCTGAATGTTACACACCTAGTGCGCGCGTCATTAATTGAAATTTACTACATGATAAATCAGCTATGGCCACCAGGACCAGGTAATGGCAATAGATGCATTGTCTCTCGAGCGTTGCGTCACTGTTGGTAGTGGCGATCGGACTTGTAGATTATGGAAGATATCCAAAGAATCTCAACTTGTCTTCCGTGCCGCGGGAAAGATTTCAGACGAAGATAAAAAAGAGGTGCATCACGGAGGTGGTTTGGATGCTGTAGCGATGATAGATGAAGATAATTTTCTGACTGGCAGCGATAACGGGTAAATTTCTGAAAAAGATTGGAACATGTTCAACTCCATCTAAAGCAAAATAACTCATAACTTGTCTGTTCAAAAATTAGCACAATATCTTTATGGAATGTGAATAAGAAAAAGCCAGTCTACTCTTATCCGCTTAGCCATGGCAGCGTAGAAACTTTCTGTCCAGGCTCGCAAAAAATTGATAATCCACGGTGGATAACATCTCTCGCTACACTTCGCTATTCTAATCTCTTTGCTTCCGGCTCATGGGATGGTCAAATAAGACTCTGGAAAATAAAGCCAGGGTTACGATCTTTTGAGTTAATATCTACTATCCCTGTTCCCGGTTTCATAAATTCTCTCGGTTTTTTGATGATGCCGAGCGAGGATAAGACGTATTTAGTTATAGGAGCAGGTCAGGAGCACAGGCAGGGAAGATGGGAGAGAATTAAGGAAGCGAAAAATAGAT